CCTTAACGTACTAAACTAACACTACTATATATATATATATATATATATATATATATATATATAGCTCGTTGAATTTTTCTTCATATTGAAATACATCGAGATTGATGAGGAGTTGGTCAATGATGTTCGAGTATGCACTTGTTTTAAGTAGTTCTTTATTTTCTATGGGCATCTATAGATTAATCACAAGTCGAAACATGGTTAGAGCACTTATGTGTCTTGAGCTTATACTGAATGCTGTTAATATGAATCTCATAACATTTTCTGATTTATTTGATAGTCGACAATTAAAGGGAGACAATTTCTCGATCTTCGTTATAGCTATTGCAGCCGCTGAAGCAGCAATTGGCCCAACTATTGTTTCATCAATCCATTGTAACAAAAAATCAACTCGTATCAATCAATCAAATTTGTTGAAGAAATAGTTGTTTGAAGAAATAGTTGTAATCATATAATATACAATATATGAAAATCTCATAGAATATTTGATTCTTTTAAATTAGAAAGTTGAATATATTCTATTAAAGTAAAGTTAAAGTAGAAATAAAGTAGATAGAGAAAGGCATAAACATAACATATATATGCCACGATAGAAACTTCTTTATGGAATGGATTAATGCATCATACCATTACGATGGATTAGGAATGCTATTCTAATTCTACAACTCTATAAGAAATTCTCTTCTCTAAATTATCTATATATTAAACTAACTAAAAGAAATATAAATTATACTAGAAATGTTCATTTAAATATAAATGAAATAAAAATCAATGAAATTGAAAAATTCAATAGAAATTCATTTTTGAAAGTAAGGAAGAAACGAGCTTTTCATCCGCAAAAGAAGGAGAGATTAGTACTGAAAGGTGAAGACGAAGGAAGGGCTAAAACAAAGTAAAAACCCTTAATTGGGGTAAAGAAATACTAGCAATCCGCGGGAATAACAAATGTAGCCCCAATCTCTTAAAAAGAAGAGGATAGATAGGTCCCACTCGTGCCATGGATTACCGTACATACAATTTCAAAGCTAAAAAAGTAACAAAAAAAGCATAGAAACTTAGGATTTTGAAAGGAAAAGACCTTTTTTAGCCCATATTTTCTCTATTATCATAAGATATGATTTTCATGATGAGCTATCCAAGTCTATTGAAATCACTGCAAAACCCCGTCTTTGACGTAAGATTTTGCACATTTGAAACCTCTTTTATGGATATCCTAATATGTTATGTTATATGCTTAACACAAAGAATTCGATGACATTGAAGACATAAGTCTATTAGTGAAAGCGGAATCACAACTAGAGTGTCAAGGCTGGTTAGGAAGCCAGGTTTGCTGTTTACAGCACTCTATTTAAAGCAGTGCAGCTCCTCTCTTCAACAAGCTTATGGTGGTAGTCAATACACACCTAGCTTGTTACCTGTCCCTCTTATTGGTGCCATAGGTACTGAGATAACACACCAACTCGAGGGAGGTGCACGACCTAACATTCTCAACCCATATGAGACAGGGTAGCCGCCTAGATTGTTACTGATGCTGAGCTTGCTAAGCCACATATGGAAGGGCTCCTCGCTGGTCGGTCATCTATCTGGAATTCCATCTCTTGCTTAGCTTGGGTGTGTGCTTAGTGGCTGGCTCTCGAGGACAGAGCGTCTTTTTGGTTGCGAGCTCGACCTGTCAATAATCACTTCTTCTTGAATGAGATAACATCCTTGGCCTAGTAGACACAAGGGGAATGTCTTAGCTTGGTCTTCGACTTGAGTTGGTTGATAGTAATGGCTGGTAAAAAAAAAAAGATGGATGGCATGGAAGCAACAGAAACCATTTACTCAGTTCAAGTGTCACCCGTGGTATAAGCACCAAAGCTTGATAATAGTAGGCTCTGTAAGACCTTTCAATCAGGCGCTCTTCCTTCTTACCGGCACTTTTATTTCATCCATCCCCTTTTATATCAATAGGGAACTCTTGCCTGTCATTCATCCAGTTGTGACCGCTATCGCCCCTATTCTCTCAACAAAGCCTCTCCTATTTTTATAGATGAGGGGGAGTACCTTCGCTACCGCTCTCTCCAAGTCGGCCATAATAGAATAGATAGGCCAAGCTTTTCTCTTTATTATCTGGGTTAAGTGAGGATAGAATCGTTCCTCACGCAAGAAGAATAAACAGATAGACTGAGAATAGAGCGACAGCACGAAAGAGAGACTAACCAAGAAGAGGGAGGTACGGCATGAATTCTTTACTTAACTAAAGAAGGAACGGCAGCTCGCCAACGCCAACACCTACTCTCCTCCTAGCAACAACTCTCTCTCGGAGTCCCTGGATGAGCTCAATTAGCACTTTCCAATCTCGACGAGGGCCAAGCTCTGCCTTGGTCCACCACCGAGGAGCGACATTGGATTCGATTTCAAGGAAACATGACTACACGGAATGCATAATCATGGGTATTGAACAACAGGAACGGCACAACGAAGAACACAACGCATATTGGTTTATGGTCTCGGTGGGCAAATAACGATCTTGTTTATTAGCAACAGATTAGGCGTTGTTAAGCCCAATGAGTTACTCTGGCTTTGAGTTCTAAGCTAAGAGTTCGAGTTAGGGGGGTTCAGTCAGTGAAACTCGCATTTAGGCTCGTGTAGTAAACTCCGCTCTTGCTCACTCTAGGGAAGGCGATGCGCTCAGTAAATTCGTATCATCGCTTAGCTTATAACTTCTAGCCGCTTTTAAGAAGACCAAAAAAGCACAAATGCAGAGAATAAGGTTGGGTTTCGGTAACTAGCCAAGCGCTAGTGAAAGTTGTTAAAGCGAAATCTTTAATTAAGTAGGAACTCACACCCTTAGTCAAGCGAGACGCTTCTGTTCAGGCACTTTCACCAGTAGTTGAGCCAGCACCTGAACCGAGACCTAAAACTGAACCGCTGAAGGAACCTCTTTCCGTTGTTAAAGCAAGTACGCATTTCAAGCTGCCAAGGAACCCTTAAGCCGGCACACGCAAAACTCTCTCTTTGGCTTTTCACTGAAACCAACACGCCTAAACATAAGAGCGTTTAGGCTTTCACTCTTTTAGTTCGGCATTTCCTTTCGCTGCCGGGCGAAGGGAGAAGGCACCACCTACTACAACTCAAGCGATAGAGAGATCAAATCACTCTTTCTCTTCAGGGTACGGGCTCAGATAAAAATCTTTCTTGTGCGAGATGAGATTGACCAGATGAGACACAGCTAATACCGAACTACCGCTTGCATATTTAGTCCTTCTCCACCTTTTTTTAGTGTCCTTCGAACCTTTAAATAAACGTTTTTGAGAGAGGGTTGGGGAGAGTGAGCCCTGCCGTTTCGTTTCTTTCTTGCGTATTCACGCATCGGTAAAGTCGTCCTTTCTGTTATGTTGACTCGTGATGTTTTGGCGATGGAATACTGATGTTGTTTTCTTCTCCATGCGAAAGGGTCTAGAATATTGAACTGCCCTTTCCGATATGAGGGGGAAGCATCATACCATTATGGATCACTCCTCTATGAAATAGCGGAGAAAAGAGTTTGACGTTGGGGCTGTCTCTTCTATCCCGACATGGGTGCTTCTAGCCAAGCCAAACGACTTCTCCTAAGTTAAGTAAAGGGGGCATTCAGAAATTTGCCCTTCGTCTCTGTTGGGTAATCGATTGCCCCTTTCCCTACTACAGTATCAGTTTGAGGGTCGCTTCTCCTTCGATTCGCTTATAAATGATAGGCCGAACTCTTAGATATGAAAGAAGGGGAGGGCGTGAACACTTTCAACCTAATCAATCTTTTGTAATCCGCTCTGACTATTCCCTTGGTGCCATTTCTGGTGAGAATGCTATAACTCCGGCAAAAAATTATGTTTCCATGAATAGAAGTGGGAGAAGGTTCATAGATTTACATTGTTTTCACATATACAAAGGATATCCTACCTGGAGTGAGTGAGTATGTTCACACTGCTGAGTCGGTATCAGTATCACTTGAGACTTATTAGTCGGGGAAGAATGTTAGGGTTTACAGCTGATATTCCAGATTCAAGATCCAACTACTATTCATAGCTCCTTTCCCCTGGAACCTCGCTATTATGATTTTGAGCGATTAACCGGGAGAGCGATCAAGAAGAGCATATGTTGGGCTGCATCATCCCTATTTTCCTTTGCCCGATCGATGCTCTAAAACCGGTTCCATTTGCAAGCACCCCTAAAAAAAAGCAGAGTCTTCGATTAAGATGGCCTTGTTGCTGCAACACAGTGTTTTTCTCCGCCCGAGCAAAATAGTAAAGGAACGGGTCGACTGTGCAATTCTGGCTCACCTTCGTCCCTATTTATCATTGGAGCCGCCGAACGAGCAGTTTACGTGTCGCCACTAGTATGATTAGATAGCGTAGAGTTTCCCGGGTGGCAGGAACCATGAATGATTGATTAGCAATCATAAATGCGATTTCTAACAGAAACTAATTATTACTAATGGGGCAGCAACCGCATTCTGACTGAACTAGAGAACAGTAGCAGGCTTATTGGCTTTGTCGGCTTATCAATTGAATCTTTTACGTTATTTCGACAATCAGAGAATCCTCCAGCACTTATTCTGACTCTTACACCTATTCTTATTCTATCACCTATACGGCGCACTTTCTCTTACACTACTCAACTCTAGCTACTATCGTATATTATAGATTTGATAACCGAATCCAACTGCTTATTCATTCCTGACTTTGTCCTATCTTTCTAACCTGACTTGCTTACCGCTCTTATCCGTTCGTAAGGAGACTGAAACCTGTATCTTGGGAAAGGAAAACAAAAACTTCAGAGTCTAAGACAAGAAAATACAAACATAGGTTGGAGCCTCCCTCCTCTCCTTAGCAGTACATGAGAGCTCCTACAATCATACCCCCTCTTACCTCCTCTCCAAATGGCTTCCCCTAGAAAGCCCAGATAGAGATAAGATCCCCCCCGGTCGATGCCATATTAGCATTACCAAAAGATTCTCAAGATAACCCACATACTAACGAGGATCCGCTTTTACAATGATGCAGAT